TTGCCAAGGATTCTACACTAAACAAACACGCACCCCTACAGCAACCCTCCTCCAAAAGAGACATAAGTCATCGGGGAAGGAAACGGCTCTGAGGAGGAGGGCGCCATGTTTCACGAACCTGTCCAGTTTCCCGAGTGTTACCTACTTTAATCTCCGCAAGACGACCTGAAACATCTCCCTTACATTCAAGTTTGGGTTCCAAAACAAGAAAGTTCAGGCTTGATTTTTGACTGCCAGATTTGTGCTCCTGTTTTATGCAATTTTTGAATAAAGGGTATGTAAAAGAAATCCTTGGGAAACTTCTAGGTCTACACACTCTTGTAGACCCGGAAGTGACTCCGATTTTTGACCCTTGTTGTCCCTGTGTCTCCCTTCCTTTCCTTTCACCTGCAAGACACAGCCAATGGCTAAGACTTAGCCACCGCCACCAATACATCATGTTGGGAGCTGAACTGTAAAAGTTCCTAGGCCCAACTAAAGGCAGTGACCAAAATTAAGGTAGCTCTGTCACATCCCAGTGGGTGGCACCATGGAAACGGTAACTTGAATCCACAACACTTTTGTACTGAGCTCTGCTCCGTTAATGAGAGGTGTTGGGGTAGGAGGGGGAAGACGGGTAGACACTGCTCCCCAAGCTCTCAGGGCCTCCAGCTCCTGTCACTGGATCATGTAAAGAAGTCAACAGTTGGCCACAGCCCTGACCCAAGTTCTGGGGGGTCAGCTCCTGGAAACTCCTCAGAGAGGAGGAGGGCAGAAAGACCAGGATTCGTTCCCCGAGCTCATGCAGCCCAGCGCATTGCTCTCGGTACGTGTCCTCGAGTCCAGTCTCCTCTCTGTTCACCCAACCCTTCCCTCTTTGCATGGCACCACTCAGAAGTGTGCATGCAAAAGGGAGGATAAAATCAGATCATACCTACATGTATGTAGTCTGTTGTGTCATGCTTATCCTGACTGATGCAAGAGATGACTATGAACCCATGGAATCACCTTGTGTGACCCAGGTTTATGAGCCAAGGGAACAAGGCAAAGGGGAAGGGCTGTCTCCTGTGACTCCATGACACAGTGCAAGGCTCCCAGCGCTAGTCAACTCACCAGGAGGCTGGTTTCAGGAAGTAAGCAGCCATGTTGGGAACGTCTACATGCCAAGGAATAGTGGGTATCCATAGAAGCTGCAGGTGACCCTTGGGAACTAAGGAAAGCCTTCGGCCAGCAGTCGGCAAGAAGGTGGGGCTCTGATCCTACAACTGCGGGGGACTGAATTCTGCCAATCCCCTGAGTGCTCTTGGAAGCAGCCTCCGGCACCAAGCCTCTGGGTGAGAACACAGCCCCCCCCACCAAGCCTCTGGGTGAGAACGCAGCCCAACCTTGAGCTTGTGAGACCCTGTGCAGAGGACCCAGTTAACCCATGGCCGGACTCCTGGCCCAGAGACACTGAGACTGTAATGTGTGTTCACTAAGCCACTCAGTTCACGGCAGTTCATTGTACAACAACAGAGAATGAATACAAGGACGGTGACCACTGAGCTACCCAATATAACCACTGACCACGTGGAAGAAATCTATGGATTCATGAACCATTTATGTAAGACTAGTCTTTTTCTTTTAACTTGTATCAGAGGCTTCTTAGTAAGTGGGGAAAAAATTACTTTTCCATAGTTTCACATACTGAATTTAATTAGCATTTTCACTGAAGAAAGCAGAAAGAGGGCAGATTGCTGATGAAAAGAAACTATGAAGTCTAAATGCAGGTGCTAATCCTAAAGCAGTTCATTGTTCTTTTCCATGGGACACCCAGCAATGTGTGTGTGGTAGTGACCCACTTGCATATTGAACCCTGACTCTAAAAGGCAAAGGTCAGCGAAAGGGCACACCTCTACCACCCTTACCACACACCTACAGAGCAGAACCACCCTGTGGCCACGGGCCTCTCCCCTCTTTGCACACTTCCACGCAGGCTTGTTCTACATCTTCCTTTTTCCCTGACACATTCTGGACTTCCTGGAGGTCATGGCTCTTGAAATCAGGCAAAGGAGGTCCTAGCCTGGCCTAAAACCCCAGCGCTGGGTCCTCACGAACTCCAAACAGCAAGATCCATACCCCTCCCTGCTGGACAGAGAGGGGCCAGTGACAGACTTATTCACTTCATGGCTCTTAGTTTGCCAGAGATCCCACACAATTTCCGGTCTGATGTTTTCATGTGCGGGAGGACCACGGGGCGCAAGCGTGCTGAGATACAGATCATTAGGTCTGCCCTGTGCAACGAATCGCTCCTTCCACCCATGTCTGCCATGTTTTGGAGCATGAGCCCTAGTGGGCTAAGGAAACCTCGGGGTCCTGAGGCTGAGCAGCACCCCCAGAAGCTGTGGAGGTTTTTAGTAATAGCCGTCTTGGGGACAGACAGTGGCCAGCAGAGCCTGGGCACTGTCGAGGGGATGGGAAATAGCAGGGGAAAGCCTGGAATAGACTCAGGGGTGCTGTTTGCCATGGCCCTCATTGGTGACCAGGGCGGGCCTCCCTCCTGCATCCTGTTGGAAGGGAGAGACAATAGCCCCTTCCAGGTCCCCCAGCTTTTGCTGGAGAGAGAAGCGGAGTTGGGAGCTGTGTTCCTCCAGCCTGTAAACACACTGCCACCCTCCTCCCAGCTGCGGGGCTGGGAAGATGACCAGGCAGTGAATTCACTAGAGCACTTGTGACAACGCCTCTTCATCCCCAAGCACTGCAGGCCTCCCTGCCCCATGTTCAGGCAGTGCCATTTTAAAGCGCGGGAACATTGGCGAACTTACCTTTAGGGCCAAGGAAGGCTGAAATGCAGAGAGGCTGGTTCACAGGCGCCCCTTCCAAAGCCCTGTGCCTAATTTTGTGTTTGAACTTTTGCGTTATTTTCCCAAAGAGCGTTCCTGAAACTGTATAAACTTCACATCCCCCCCATACCGGCCTTGGAAGGGACAAGCTAGGAGCGACCATGCTGTAGACAGACAGCAGCGAGCCCCGGGAAGTCACGGGTCCCTTTGGTGGTGTCGGGCTGGCCTCGCTGTAGCCAGGCGGGGTGTTGAGGAGAAGGGTGGCGTCCCTTCCTACGCGGGCCACCGAGGGAGACCGATCCCGGGGCGTCAGGGGGAAAGGGGCGGGGGAAGGACTTCCAGTTGCGTGCAAGGCTCCGGCGCCGCCCCGCATCCCGCCCCGCCCCGCCCGCGCCCCGCCCAGCGCAGGTAAACAGGCTGCCAGCCCGGGGACACGCCCCGGCGCCCGACTAGGGCCCCGGGGAAGCGGAGGTCAGGTGGCGCCCTTCACCCCAGAACGTGCGCCGGCGCGGGCAGCCCTGCCTCACCCGGCGTAGGCGCCGGGACGCGTCCCCCACCTTCCAGGCAGTCCGATCACACCTGCGCGCCCGGCCGGCTTGGCTGCGTAGCCAAGGCAAAGTGGGGCGTGAGGAAAAGACCCGGCCAAGGGGGGAGCGTAGGTAAAAATTGGTGGAACTCCATGTACTTGGAATCTGTTGCTTTGTTACACGTAATCTTACCTCATACCAAAGGAAGAGGAAAAGAACAGGCCCGGGGACCCCCTTTGCTTCCAACTTTCACCGACACTTATTGGGGTGAAGGCGTGGCAGGGCCTTGCTTCGGGAGAGCTCTGGGGAGGATGGTGGGAGGGCAATTTCTGCAACCTTGGGAAAGCAGAGCTGCCTATGGCCACGGGGGCGTGGAAGAAGACTTCCTGGTCCTCACCTTTCTCGTCAGCAAAGTGGGGTTAATGGCGTCAAAGTCAAGGTGGAAGGAGGTGGTGAGAAAGATGGTCAGTGCGGCGTTCATTCCCAGGGGAGTGGAGGTGGCACCCAGGGCTGCGGTTCTGTATCTAGGGACCAGCACTGGTGACATGGCGCCCAAACCAGATGTTTCTGAGTTGTGATGGGGCCCTGAGGACCCCAGACCTCTAGCTTTCTTGGATCTCAACCAGTTTTCAAAGCTGTTTCTCCTGTAGGTCCTGCAAGCTCCAGATGGCCTTCCATTAAGCTCCCTGTCTACGTATGCTGGCGCTGGGTACTGTATTTGCAACCAGGAATCGGACTTGCCTTCCTCATCTTGATCTCTTTCCTTTGCTTCTGCAGGGGTTAGGTAGGGAAGGTGTTAGGACTGACATTTTAGTTAGCTCTTACACTGACAGCCCCGGAAAGCAGGCAGCTTTGAGGAGGACTGAACACACGCACAGGTTGTCCACAACAATATCCCTTTTATTGATGTTAATCACAGTTATGAGGTCTTGTCCATCAGAAAGAAGTTTGCACTATGTAGAACTACATACAAAGACATAAAAATACACATCAACCACCAAAACAAATCATCTCAACCAATCAAAACTCTGGATGTGTCTTCAATTTTGATCGTCTGTGATTTGGAAAAACATACATGGATTGGCCCAGCATAAGGTTGGCGTCGGGGGTATCGCGGCATTCACAGCAAGGTGTTCACCCTTGGAAGCAATCGAACATGTAAACTCGGAGGGCAGGCGTGGCCCACACAGTGTCTGAACACCGGGCTCCGGGGCTGCCCGCTGTGACTGCGGCGCCCACTCAACGTCCTAGGGCCGCCTCTGACCAGTGAGGACGGCAGGTCCCAGCTGTGTCTGAAGCAGGGAAGTCACATCACCCCTGCTGGAGAAGCTATGTGTAGGATAGATTGGCTTCTAATCTAGTTCAAGTCATTGTTTAGGGTCATTTCAGAATGATGATTTGCTGAAAATTTAATTTTATAGGGAAACATAAAAATCTCTCTTCTTTTCCTACCCTTTCTTCGGTCTCAACCAAAGGGCTCTGGCCAAACTCCAGCAAAGCTTGCTGTAGCTGGAGAGAGCGCTGGGTCTGGTTACAGGTCCCCAAATGGCCAGCCGAGGAGGACCCATCTCAGATGCCAGATGTCTTCCCTTCACTTCAATTAGCTTAAGTGGCTCCATCCACAGGTAAATGAAGGGTTTGGGTTCTAGTAGCTGGCTGGTGTCCCCCAGTCTCTTAGCAAAATGAAGGCCTATAAACTTATCAAAAAGAATGTCATAGGGATTTGGAAACCATGACAAGCCACTTTGCTCTTGGAATCCCCAGAGAACAGAGGTCTCAGATCAAAGCTACAGACCCTTCTTTCCTCAGGGCTCACAGTGCGTTCACAGTTGTTGCAATTCTCTAATTCCCGTAATTTCAAAATGTCAATCTTTGCAAAAAAAAAAAAATGAGAGAGAGAGGGGAAGAGAGACTATCTGATTTTCTTCCCTCTGTCTGCACCCTCACCCCACTCAGCATCTCCCTCGGGGAGGCAGAGGAAGGTGTATTTCCCCTGGGGCTGGTTGGACCTGGGAGAGTAGTAGGTGGCTACATCCACGCTGCTCCAATTCCAGATCAGGAGGGAGACACGAGAGATGTCCTGGCGACTCTGCTCTGAGCCACTGGGCAAAAATGCTTAGGAGACTTCTCTCTGGGTAGCTTGCTTCTGTAGGTGACTTGGGGAGTGGCCATTGCATCTAGTGAGGGAGACTGACGGCCCCAAAGCAGGGGTTTCCCTGGATTGTAACCCCACTGAAGCAAGATTCCATTCAGTGGCCAAAAATCTGTAGTCCAACTGACACCTTGGAAGTCCAAAAATAAAACTGGTATCTCCCTCAAAAGAAAAGTAAAAATTGTCATGTAATCAGAGTCAATCAGGATAATGAGATGAACAGGAGAAAAAGTAAAACGCCAATGTGAAGAGAAGTCCGTGGTCCCGGGGCAGCCAAGCCTTGCTGTGTCCTCGTGTGGCCTTTCCTGGGGTCCGAAGCGCTCCAACACTAGCCCAGGCCAACATCCAATGACATCATCACCACAAACCCCAGGATGGAGGCCCAGGATGCCAGCTTCCCATTCCCGCTGGAAGGGAAGGAAAGGAAGGAGACCTTAACACACTCTGGGGCACTCTCCAAGCTGAAAGCATCCCCTGCAAGGTCCAATGCCTACAGAAAATACCCTACTGCTATGAATAACGATAATGATACTGACAACTATCGTTTATTGAGGCTTACACCATGCCAGGCAAACTGATTAACTCGTGTCATCTGAAAGGAAAACCACGAGATAATTATTCTACCTCTACTGGTGGGGAAACTGAAGCATAGGGAAGTTAAACAACTTGCCAAAGGTCAACTATCGTGGCTCTGGAATCCATGCTTGAATAATGAATACTGGCGATTCAGTTCTTGAAGATCTTATTTAATCTGACTTTGTAAACTAGCCTCAAAAATCATTCTACAATAAAACCAAAATGAAACGGAGGGCCCACCCACCCGGCCCACCCACCCCCTGAGACCTGGCCTGGAGCTAAATAATGAGACCACGGATACACAGTTTTGGCTAACAAAGCTCATCTCTCCCCTCATTCCAGCCCCAGGAAAATCTGGAGAAGGTGGGAGGAAGGGTGGAAATTGGAGAGAGAGAGAGGGAGGGAGGGAAAGGGGACAGAAAGAAGGAGGAAAGGGAGAAGAAGGGAAGGAAGCAGGAGGAGGGAGAGAGGGAGATATTAAAAATTAATAGTCTGTTTCATGGCAGGGTGGGGGGCAGAGAGGCACAGTGTGTATGCCACTGCCTCATATTACCTGGTCTGTCTCTCCACCTACCTACCTGTTTCAGACGGCACAGCTGTGGAGCGGCTGAGGACGATGATGGAGAGGGGCAGGAAGGGGTGGAAACAGAGGAGTGGCAAGTGAAAACAAGAGCAGATTTGGAGGCTGGGATCCGGACAGGGACAGGGACAGGTGAGGGAGGGGAAGCTCTCCCACCTGATCTGAGCTTCGGGGATGATGTCGTCCATGACCACATAGACCATGGCGCCAGCAGCAAAGGCCAGGGCGTAGGGCAGGACGGGCTCAGCCAGAACCACGGCGAAGGCCCCAAAGAGCCCGGCCAGAGGCTCCACCATGCCGCTCAGCTGCCCGTACCTGAGGAGAGAACAGAGAAGCATGCCACCGGGGAGCTCCCACAGGCACTCTGCCCGTTCACACTGCTGACTCCAGAAGACGATGTGTTTATCCCACGTCATACACAGTCTGGCAGAAGTAATGCCTGCTTGAGTGTGGTTGGTAGGGTAATAATACAAATGTAATAATTTACAGTTTTAATTTGAATATTTCACCTAAAATGTCATATTGTGTGCTTGAGTGTGATATTGTTATGTTACAGAATTACATGCTTATGATTCTGTAATAAAAGATTTTGTAATAAAAAAGGGGCGTTATTTGGGCTGGACCCTGTATCTGAGCACAGCGGTGCAGAAGCACTTCATTGTTTTGTTCACCTCCTCCTTTTCCTTCCCCACAACCTAGTACAGTACAGTCGCCACCCCCCCGGGTTTTTTTTAGAGTTTTAAGTCTGCTACATTGTCTTTTTAAAATAACAGCATTATTGAGATCTAATCCACATGCCATATGACACATCAATTTAATGCGTGCAACTCAGTGGTTTTTCATCTGTTCACAAGGTTGTGCAACCGTCACCACTATCTAATTCCAGCACATTTTCATCACCCCAAAAGAAACCCCATACCCATTAGCAGCTGTTCCCCATTCCTCCCTCCTCCCCCCAGCCCCTGGCAACCGCTAATCTACTTTTCATCTCTATGGATTTGCCTATTCTGGACATTTTATATAAATAGAATCACACAATACGTGGTCCTTTCCATGGACTTATTTTCACTCAGCATGTTTTTGTGGTGCACCCATGGTGTGACACGTATCTGCGCTTACTCCTTTTCTGACTGACTACTATCCCTTTGTGTGGCAACACCACAGGTCACATATATCCATCCATCACTTGATGCCTACATTGTCATGTAAGGGTAGGATACTTATTTGAAGCAGTAGGGACATTTCCCAAGGACAGCTGTGCCTGGCAGGTCTGGGGATTCAGGCCACAACACATCCCTTCTGAAGGAGCTACAGCCGCCTACCTCTGTGGAACAGGTGGCCTGCCTGGCCATGTCTATATTGAGGGTCTGTCCCCACAACCCTCATCTTGGATTAAGGTGAGATTCTTCTTTTTTACAAAAATCCCTTGCCCTGGTGCGTCATTCCATACACCAGAAGGTTGTGAGTTCAATTCCCAGTCAGGGCACGTATAGGAGGCAACTGATCAATGTCTCTCTGTCTCTGTCTCTCTCTCTGCCCCCCTTCTTCTTTTTCATATATATATATATATATATATATATATATATATATATATATATATATATATATATAGCAACAGAGACAACAGAGTGGGTCTCTGTTGATTAAAACCCAATGAGTGCTGATTAAAACAGCAGCCACATGCGCCCTGGGCCTTTACAGAAGAAATAAGCTGGTGCTTGGACTGTACAGTTGAGCCCGCTGGGAAGAGGCACCTTCTCCAGGCTGAACACCAACAGAAAAGGAGTTGGGACATCTTTCTCATGGTCCCTGGCTGCGGGCATTTGGGAACATACATTGCCTCCGAGCCTCCGCCCATCCACCTGTGAAATGGGAGTGAGACAACTTCCCCGCCCAGCCTCCCAGGTGACAGGATGGTTACAGGGCAACTGTGGGGACTGGGAACTCCCACCCCTTCCCTGCCTCTCCCTGGCCAGGCTGGGAGCAGACGGTTGGCATTGGGGAGACACTGTGCTTTGGGATCCTCTAAGGGGGCCGTGACCTTGGCTCTGTCACTTGGGGAAAAAATGGGTTTGATGCCAAGCCCAGACTGGAGTAGGAAGTTTACACTATAATCTCTGGGTCTGGACGCGAACCACGATGCCCCATTCCACTACATGAAATGCCAGTGGTGGCTTTCGGGCTCCTGGAACTTGCATTTAAAAACACCTTTGAGGCCATCTTGCCCTGCCCTCACCCACATCCTCTATTCCATAGACTCTGACAACGGAGAAAGAGGTCATAGAGGGAGGATATAAAATAATTTAGGCACGTGCAAGAACTTGTAGCCTGCAGGCCCTATAAAATGGAAAGCACTTTTATTGTGGTTATTATCAGCCCTTTTAAATGCTCTTACCGTACACTCTAGAGCCGTGAGCATTTTAACGAAGAGGCCTTCCAAGGCTCAGAACCTTTATCGGAGGAGTGGACGATTACGCTTCTAGTCCTGGGGTCACCACTAAATGAGCCAGGTGGCCTGAGCTGGTCATCTACACTCTGGGCCATGGTTTCCTCCCCTGAATATGGGGGACTCGCCTCACATGTCATTGAAAAGGTAAAATCAAGGAACAGACTAGAAAGCCCTTTGGGGACTATGAAAACATGAGGCATCGTCTCCTAGACACTGCTAACATAATCTTCACACTGACAAAGGTTATGATAGAAGCTTCTATAATGACTCTCGGGGACAAAGGCTGTAGCACGATGAGCCCAAGTTAAGGCACGTGGCATTAAAGTGGACATAAGGTCTGGCTCAGTTCTTCCTGCCAGAGGGAGAGAAAACGTACCACAATGGCTGTGGCATGGCTACCCATAGTGGGGTTTTGAAAAAGGAAAGATGGCATTTGGGCCACTTTATGTAAAAGTTAAAGGTCAAGAGATGAGTTCCTTAAGGTTCCTCCCAGTCCTGGGGGTGCAAGACTCAGCATCTTACCAGAAGCTCCAGATTCGCTTTCAGGTCAGAAGAGGCTGTTCTTGCAGAAGGAAGCCGGCACAGAGGACTGCCCTGAGCTTCACATCAGCCCGACCTTGGCCTCTGACAGCGACGCCCTCGAGCACTTACCAGAAGGCTCTCCAGTTGGAGAAGCCAGCCCCTCGCAAGGGGAGGCTGACAGCGAGGCCCTCTGGGAAATTCTGGATCCCAATTCCAATGGCTAAATTCCTGAAAGACCAAAAAGACATATGAAGGCGGTCATCTGGAACCAAGTGCCACACAGACAGGAGCCCCCAGCCTCCCGTGTTAGGGATCCAGGTGAGAGCTCGGGCAGGTGGAGGGAAGCAAAAGGTTAGGGCACGGGTGTCGATGGAGAGGCAAGGAGAGGGAGGGGGGGCAACATGGATCCACCAACCCTTCACACTGTCCTTGGACCCTGGGGACGCTCCATTTTCATGATGCTACAGTCCAGCAGAGAACACGTTGGCTGGGTGTTAGGATGGTCCAAGTTCCACCCCTTAACCGTTCAACTTTGCACAAATCGTTTAACTTTCCACACCTCAGGTCCTCATATATAACATGGAAAGGTTTACATGGGTATCTACCCAGTAACCTAAAGCCTACCAAGTTCCTAGCACAGATGAGGAGCTGAGTACATTTTGATTTCCATTCCCTTATGGCATGGAGATTGATATGTCACATTTTACCAGACTATGACCCAGATATCCTGGGTCTGGGTTCAGCTTCCCTGTGGACACTCTGTGCGGGCCTGGGCCTCCCACCACACTTCTTTGGGTCCCCACAGTGCTCACCATGGTCCTCTCCCCTCCTGCCTCTGGAGGACACTGGGCTGTGCGAATTGGTCAGCTGGCCAGAGCCAAGCCTAGAGAACCTGCTTCATGCACAGACCAGGTATGGGAGTGCAAAGGGAGGGGCAACAGAACACGGCGCGCGCAAATGCAGTTTTTGACCCCAGGGAGAGAGGCATCAGTGAAGAACCCTCGTTACGCACAATGCAAACTACTGCAAGGAAACCGAATGTCCACTTTCAGAGAGAGCAAGAGCTCGATCAGGGTCGGTCTGAACGCACCGGGGAGGCAGCGTTGGAGTGCGTACCTTGGCTGGACAGGCCCACGGGGCAGCCCCTCTACAGAGGACCCACCTGATCACCAAAGTTGTCAAGGGTGTGAGAAGATGGTGCCACTTGGCAGGCCATGCTGTGCGTGTGGCCCGAAGGATTGTGGATGGACTAGACAGAAATGGGAAGCTCCACTGTCACTTGGTTTTCTGGTCCATTTGCTCACGTCTGACCCTCTTGCTGCTAACAGGAATCCACCCATCAGCTCTGGACAATGACAAGGGGCTACTCCACCCTGTCCTCCTGCCTGCTCACCTGCTGGGGACAGGGACACTTGTGCTGCCCTGGGTGGTCCCGTTAGGCCAGCTCTGGCCAGTTTCCTGTTCTATCCTTCAGCAGAAAGCACTGGGGACAATCCTCAGTGTCTAATGTTTAACCTTTTTTTTTTAAATTAATTTATTTTTTCAAATACATTTGTCTCTGCCTACCCCCGACCAAAATGTTTAACCTTTTTACTTCAGGCAGCCTGTGTTCTCTTTCATTCCCCGGCTCATGCACACACATTTCATAGGAGGCGCAGAACGCCCAGACGCATGGGAGGCTCTGGTGTCAATGTTTTCCTAAGAGTCTCCTTGACCTGGGGGATACTTAGGAAAAGACCGACCCTCCCAGGATCTTGGACTTATAAACCCATTGCTTGCATGTGGTACATTTAATGAACTCCCACCCTGTCCCTTCCTGACAGCTTTGTTTCCCCTCAACATCTACCCATCAGCTCACTGAAGAGACAGCATTGGAAAAATTACTATTAGTTCTTTAATAAAGAAATGTTCTGGTGCCTTACAGATAACAGGTCACTCGCTTAGGACAACTGTTCATAAAATGAAGTGGACAAGACAAGAAGACACACCCCCACCAGGCCCACAGCACGTCCGTAAGCGCCCCAGCTCCGTCGCTGTCTGCGGGCCTCTTCCGGGGGTTCACTCAGATTCCCGCTTATGTACTCTAAGGCAGCTCTCTCCTTTTACTTCTTGGAGAGGAATGGTTCAGACAAGCTGACTTCATCCCATGACCCACAAGGTGCCCTGCAGGGAAAGACTGCGAATATTTTGGGCTTTGAGGGCCACTGGGTCTCTGTTTCAACTTTCAAATCTGTCACTGTGGTGAAAGAGCAGCCAATATGTAAGCAAATGAGTGTAGCTGTGTTCCAATAACACTTTATTTATAAAACCAGGTGGTGGGCCAGATTAGGCCCGTAGGCTGTAGTTTGCTGATCCCTGCCCTAATATCTCAGTGGCTGGCTGCAGGAAGATCTGACCAGGTGGGACCAAAGACCCAATGAGGGTCTTCCAATTAATAAGGTCAAGGTGTCTGACCAGACCTCAAGGCTCTTGTCAGGCGTGGCAACTGCACTCTGCGGCTGGCTTGCTGTCTACTGCCGTCACCTGCCCTCATGCTCACAGGCAAGAGCAGGACTTATCCCCAGACTGACCATGGAGAGTTGCCAGCCCAATGTCACCAGCAAGTCAAGGTGGGGCTCCCCGTACAAAGTCCTCACCGTGACGCGGCACTGACAGCAGCCATCCGCCAGGCGGGCTGTGGAAGCCTCCTCCCATCCTGTCCAGGAGCCTCCGTCCTGATAAGCAGCACAGAAACTCCTTTCTTCTACCCCTGGCATGCCAAGTTACGCCTGCCTTGCCCCAGCTCTGGCATGGGGCTTCCAGGACAACCAGGCGCCCCACCCTTGGGATCCCGCCAGACCGCCTCAGGGTGCCACCTTGCTGGGTGATCACGGAACCTCTCCTAAGGCTCCATCACCCCGCAGCAAGGGCTTGACCACAGCTTCTCTGTCCTTTCCACCTTCATATATATCCCTTCACTTTGCTTTCCTCCACACACACACACACACACACACACACACACACACACACACACACACTGGCCCACCATGGTCCCTTGCTCTGCTCTGTGCCATGCCCCTGTGAGGGGTGACCCAATGGAAGGGCTCAGTGTCCTGCATGCCCTCTGGTCCACTTCCCACTGACATCAGCACCGGACCATGACTGGAACCCAGACCTCTCAGCCCCGTCTCCTCACTCCAGTCACCAGGGACCTACAGCGTCATCCAAGGGGTTGAGGTTGAGGCTGGTGGCTGCACCCATCTCTGACTCAGGAGCCCTTTCCCTGCCATCCTGTCGCCCAGCTGACAAGCATGTCAGGGCGGCCCCGCGGCCATTCGTGAGTGTGTCAGGCAGCCTGCAGACTGGGTACTTTCTGGGCACGAAAACTGATTGGGGGAGGCCTGGAGGGAATCTTTGAAAACAGAGCAGGGGCAGCAAAGCGGAGGGTCGCTGGGGAGACAGGATGTATCAACAGCAGAGATGGGGATAACGGCCGCCGTGTGTCCGCGGTGGGGCAGGGAGCAGAGGGGCAGCAGCAGCAGCCCAGGTTGGCAGGGCTGGTCCCACGGCACTGGGAGCTTGAAGCTAACTTAGGAGCAGTGGCGACCTAGAGTGGGAGCAGGGATGGGACACAGTGACGCGCTCGTGCCCTCCCACGGCCTTGCTTTGCTATCCCGGTGGCCTCCAGGCCAGTGGCGCTCCCCGCTGGCGGCTGGCCTGACGCAGCAGGGCTGGGCGGGCCACACCCTTCTCTAACTTGGGGAAGGACAAACCCAGATGAGAGGCTATGAAGATTCAGAGCAGGACTCCGGAGCAAGCGGGCAGCCCTGCCCCCTGCCCCTCGGGGGACAGCTAGGCCGCCAACTTCTGTCTTGCTCTTCCCTGCCCAAGCACCAAACACCATTACCAGTCTGGACCACAGCTGGACCACAGCAAATTAGTGGCCAGGGGAGGAAGGGGGAATGAAGGGCTCTTTGAAGACAAAAACCACAGGCTGGTCCCCCTGACAGCATCCCTGCCTTTCAGCGGGGTCAAGCCAAGCCCCATGGTGACCTGTCACCCAGGCCTGACTGGGAGTCACAAGGGAGGCGACGCCATGAAAAGGGCCAGGAAAGGCCACCATGGGGGAGGAGAGAAGGACAGTGGGGGAGGGGATTACAGGGCAGGGTGTCACTGCAGGGGTGTCATTGCAGGGCTGTGGGGCAGGTGGCTCCCGGGCGCTGGCCTGCACCTGCAGGGACAAGAGCAGCCTCCCCCGGGGCAGGGAGCCCAGGGACCTGCGGGACGGGTGGCTCTGGGGAGGAGCTGGGTTTGGCTCAGAGCGGTCGGACTCCTCTTTTCTTTCCCTTAGGGATCTGAATTTGCTAGGAAGGGCGACCAGGGCAGTGTTGCGGCAGGTGGGGCTGTTTTTAAGTTCACACGGCGAGAGAATGGCAGGAAGGAAGGTGACCGATGTCCCTCTGCCTCTTTGACTTGGGGAGGAGCGGAGCAGCAATGGTTTGTCTCACCTCGCGCTCTCTCTCTTTAGCAGTTAAGCAAGTATGTTAAGGGGTCAGTTTTGTGATGCTGACTGAAGTGCCCAACTGCCCAGGAGTGCCTGGGACAGAGAGGTTTCCTGAGACACTGGACACTCAGTGCTGAAACCCAGCATGTCCCAGGCCGGCTGGATGACTTGGTCATCCTTTCTAGCACCCAGAAACCTGCTCGCTGGCAGACACAAGCCTGGCTCAGGATTTTAATTTGCCACAGAGGGTGCTCACACCATCTGGCAGCTGAGCAGCTGCTTTTTAAGAAGGCCCCATCCAATACTTCCGAAGGTTCAGCACAAGTTATAACCACTCCTGGACCTGTCAGATGTAGCTCACTCCAGCCCCCACCAGCCCCACGGGTGCGAGGTCTGTCCAAGCGGCCTCCTTGTCTCCCGCCCCGCCCTGAGCTGGCCAGGCCGGGGCAGAGGCGGCAGCCTCCCTGCAGTGACAGCAGCAGACCCTTGGCACTCTATCTGGGGCAGGAACATGAAGGGGCATTTCAGGCTGCTGAGGGCGAGGAAGCAGCAGGAAGCCCCCAGGGGCGGGTGAGTCTGGGAGGGAGCGGGGAACACACTGGGCTCCATCACAAATACTGAACCCCAGAAGATACAGGGGTTCATGCCCATGGGAACTTCCAGGCCCATGACAGGCAGCAGGGAGTGCAGGCAGGGAAAAGGGTGGCCGTTCTCTAATCTGGATGCCAAGGCAGAAGCAACGAGC